CCCCCCCCCCCCCTTTTAACATTGTTTTCTGTGTAATTTAAAATGACCAATCCCCCTTTTTTGCAATCTTCTCATTAACCTAAATCTGATTTTCGTGCTGATAATTTTTTTTTTTTAAACTGCCTACAGACACCCTCATGTTTTACGTTGTATTTATGTGTACCAATTACAGTTGTGTCACGTGTGCGCCACCGCTAGCACCATATCGACCGTAGCCTTCTTAATACTTCCCCTATCACCCCTATGTTGTTATTCTGTCATTTCTGACACCACTTGTAGCTTTTTTTTTTTTTTTTTTTTTTTTTTCATTTTCTCCAAATTTATAGCCCAAGCTTATTGCACCATAACTGCGCTTTTGCTGCATACCACTTTGCTACTTTTTTTTTAAGCCATTTGTTTGAATGTAATTTTCAAAAAGTATTTATTTATCTAAACACTATTTTTTTTTTTTTTAATGCTATTCGCTAAAATGAGATGCGTTTTGGCTAACCCCCACGGGGTGTGAATAATTGTGCATCTTGGAAACAAGTGGAAAGGTATTTAAGGGCCCGGTGTTGCACATTTTGTGAGGATTTTTTTGCTTTTTTTTTTTGCTCATTTCAGATGATATAGGAAAAGGAGAAACCAATCTTCTACACATCGTTCGGTTTTACACAAATGAGAAAAAAGTTGACCATTTCTTTTTTTTTTTGGAGAAATTCTCCCGTTGGAAAATTTCTTATGTGCAATCTTTGCTCGATGCGTATGATCCCTATGGAGCGCTTTATTACCCTTCTAAGGTGACCTCTTTAATGAAGCCATTGTGAGGGAGCCATTTGAACTTTTCAAATTTCAGGGGAGTAAAGAGATGCTTATTTTAATTTTTTTTTTTTTTTTCCTACACGCACTCCATCGGAGTAGATTGGTAACTCCTTTCAATGTAACCTCTTAGCACAAATACCTTTTGGAGATTTGCCTACATAGCAGAAGCAAAGCAAAGGGTAAGCATAAAACGGTCTGTTGCAACGCTTCCTAAGGGAGGAATCACATGTGCAGTTGCATGCCCAACAGGGCTGATCTGTGATGCGCATGGGCACCTCGCTTCGTAGTATGTCCCCCACTTTGTTAGTGCGATGCTCACCCCTTTTAGCGGCCACTGCAGCGGATTAGGGCGAAAGAAAACGTGGACCTAATTTACACAAAAGTGTCGCTGTCCAGGTGTAGCGCACTAGGCACCCCCACGCCATATGTGTATGAATCTCGTCCACCCGGGTGTCTCCCCGGTGCGTTGGAGAATACGTAAAAGTGGGCTGCCCTCACCGCCAGCATTGTCAACATTGTTAGCATTGTTAGCATTGTCGGCGGATTGCCCTTCCCAGTGATTGCGAGCCATCAAATGTTACACGCATAAATGATGGGCCCACTAAAGACGGACCCATCGAAGGGAACCTCGGAAACGATAAGAAGCCAAGTCTACAGGAAGGAGAGAAAATGCTGCATCTGTATGGTGAGCGATTTTTTCTACCCAAACTTGGGAGGAATAGAAACGCACATCTTTGAATTATCCAAGCAGTTAATAAAGAAAGGTAACCACTGCATGAGGAGTTTTGCAAATCTCACCACATCATATGCGTCCCAGCACTGCGGATGACACAGGGAGGTGGTCTCCTTCATCATGGGTAGCAATTGCACATACGCATGCGATGAATGCTTCCCCCCCCCTTCTCTGCAGGCTTCAAAGTAATCGTAGTGACCCACTGCTACAACAACCGCCACGGAGTGAGGTGGATGGGAAACGGCATTAAGGTGTACTACTTGCCATTCGAAACATACATGGATGTCGTGACCTTCCCTAACATCGTGGGGACGCTTCCCTTGTGCAGAAACATTTTGTTCAGGGAGAAGGTCGACATTGTCCACGGCCACCAGGTTCGTCACGTGCGACGTTGGCGTATGGAACGGGGAATAGCGGCAGTCAGACATATGTCCGCGGGGGACCCCACCCCCCCGTCACGTGCATATGCATGCATACATACACACGAAACTGCTTTCCCCCCCGCTCCTGTATTACGGCCCCCCAGGCGACGTCAGCCCTGGCGCACCAGTTCATCCTGCACGCAAAATCTCTTGGCCTAAAAACCATTTACACGGACCACTCGCTCTACAGCTTCTCGGACAAGGGGTGCATCCACGTGAATAAACTCCTCAAGTATTGCATAAACGACGTGGACCATTCCATATGTGTCTCTCATACGAATCGGGAAAATCTGGTCCTAAGAACAGAAATCAACCCATACAAAACATCCGTCATAGGTAATGCATTGGATACCACAAAATTCGTTCCTTGCATAAGCAAAAGACCCCAGTCTCCAAGAATAAATATAATCGTTATTAGCCGACTGACGTACAGAAAGGGAGTCGATCTGATTGCCAAAGTAATTCCTCTCGTGTGCCATAAGTACCCCTTTATCAATTTTATAATTGGTGGTGATGGACCCAAGAGAATTCTGCTTGAAGAAATGAGGGAAAGAAATCACCTGCACAATTCAGTTATTCTTTTAGGAAAAGTGAAACAAGAAAATGTAAAAAATGTTTTGCAAAGTGGACACATATTTTTAAATGCTTCTCTAACTGAAGCCTTTTGTATAGCCATTATAGAAGCGGCTAGCTGTGGACTGTTGGTCATTTCGACTGACGTCGGAGGTATTTCCGAAGTGTTGCCACACGACATGATGATTTTAGCCAAGCCCAATCACATGGACTTGTGCGCAGCAGTTGACACTGCCCTGGAGAGACTAAAGGACGTCGACTCGCAGTCTTTTCATGAACGGGTACTCCCCTTGCGCCATCCCATGTGTGCAATGTCCCAACGCAGGCAAAAATACAAACATAGACCATACCCATACGGCTGCAAAAAAAAAAAAAAATTACCCTCTACACACCCAAACAACAACGCCCCCCCCCCCTTTGCAGCTAACCAAAATGTACTCGTGGGAAAAGGTCGCCGAGAAGACGGTACGAACGCATGTGTGTATGCGTGATCATGTGGACGGCGGGTCACCACATTTGTGCATGCCCCCTCTCTTGCAGTACACTACGCTCATCACATTCCGCAAAGAGAAATTTCACTGACCTCCTTCCTGCCTCCATCTCAGGAAAAGGTTTACATGGACGTGCTTTCCTACGCGAACCCGACCATTCTCAGTAGGATCAAGAAGATATACGACATAAAAACGGTCTTTAGTAAGCACCTGAGGGGTATCGCGTTTGTCGTGCACGTCGCGGGCAGAGGGGACATACCTCCTCTAAGTAACCGCCCCAATTGCATAATTTCCCTGCAATAATCTCCCCCCGCAATTCTTCATCCGTCTCCACTTCTTTCAAGGCAAGGTGTACATTTTCATAATCATGTTGAGCTACATAAGCTGCCGGTTGATGGAGTGGTTCAAGCCAAGGTAGGACGCCAAGTTGGGATACCCCCGATCAGGGTGTAACATCAAGGGCATGCAAGGATGATCACGATGAAGTGTTAATATAGATTGCCCCTCCCCCCCTTTTCCCTTCCTATCAGGGAAGACATCGAGGAGGCTATCAGCTTTCCCCACTTCATTGAAGAGGATTAACCGCCGCAGTGGTGAAGAGGCAAAACGGCAATGTGATGACCTGGAAAAGGTTAAGTACAGAACTGCACATAGCTCCCATCTGCAACTGCCTCCCCCTACCGCATGCGTGCCCGTGTGTGTCTGCACAGCGGCACAGTATGCCTCCGAATGAAACAAAAAACAAAAAACAAAAAAATGAGGCAATAATAAACACAGGGGAGTACAACAAAATGCGCCCCTTCAGATGATGATACCCACACGATGCAGAACAAAACATTCACGCCTGTGACTCCAGCAAGTTAAACTCGTGCTGGATTATCTTATAGTTAAGCACATAATTAATATTATACTGGGCCTTGTACTTGAGAGGGAATTGCCTGTACTTCATGTCCATGTAATTAATCAGGAGGACTTCGTAAAGCTGGTTGGTGAGCTCGAGGTACCCATGTTCATAATTATAGTGTATTATGTTTACGTCAATGAGACCAAGCAAGATGGGGTTATTCAGATTGATTATATTTTTACAAAAAATTTTTTTTTTTTTTAAAAAGTATTTAATAGCTTCAAAAATGGTGAAGTAGAATTGGATATAAGTTAATCCCTCCTTTGTTGTTTCCCTTTCAACTTGTTTCCCTTGTCTTCCTTCCCTACCCCCTCCATCCTGCTGCTGCCGTGTACAGTTTCCCGTCTTTTTTAGGCGCTCAATATTTGGGAGGCTAAAGAAAGTGCGTACTTTCCTCTCAAAGTCAAGGATAAATGTGTGCAGAATATTCTCATGTATATTTTTTAAAAACTCTTTCTGCTGCTCCAACTTTCGATGTTGGACAATTTCTTCTACCGTGTTATTCCTAATGTTGATTTGACCTTCTTCATCCATGTCGTAAGTAATGTTTTGTTTTTTTTCCATTTCAATTTTGTTCCTTATTTTGTCTTCATCAAACTCGGTGTTCAGATCGTGTAACCCTTTACAAACTGTTTTTACCAAGTGGGCATTCCCCCCTATAATGTCATATATACACTTTACCACCTTTTCGTCTTTCACATAATTAGGACTGATTAAGCACCTGACCATGTCGTAGGAGAGGTCGTTTATTTCGATCAGGTGTTCCCTTATGAGGTGATAGTTTTGCAGCTCCTTGTTCGTTACGTTGTGGAAGGGGTCGCTGTCCCTCACTGGGTTTCCATTTTGCGGCAATTTTTCTGCGCCAGTGCTTCTACCCCCTGCACCACTTCTAACCACCGCAACGTGCCTCACCACCAGGTTGTTAAAAACAAACACAAACTTCATCATCTCGATATTCTTAATAGAGTGAAAAATGACGGGGACGTTGTGCCTGTCCACATTTTCTTCACACCATTTGGCAAAAAAATGGAAATTGCGCGCAGGCTGAGGACCCAAAAGGAAACAATGCAAATTATAAAAAACGAAACAAAAATTATATCCATATGTACTTCGTAAAAAGTTAATTAAAGACAAAAAATAACGATAGAGGAATAGACCACTCGAGAAATCCCTGAGTATTGCCGCCGAGTTTTTCATACAATACTGATATTCTTCACACTCTGCTAACATTTTTAAAAAATATAAAAACGCGCTGAATTCATTTAACTCATGTACAAAACATTGTACATTTAATTTTTTCAACAGGATGCTTAAAAAGGAATGAAAATTATTATACTTGTAATTTTTCATCTCTAACAGGTCTATCCACCTGGCGATGTTCTTCCTGTCTTGCTCATTCAAATAGTCATACATTTGGGGGGTATCTAATATGTGTTTGAATAGGACTGGGAGTTTCGCAAAAATGGCGACGTCTCCTTCCGCGTCTCCTCCTTCCGCTTCCCACTCGTTTGCTCTGTTCCCCAAGATGAAGTGCTCATAAATGTCGCTCATATTTATCCTTCCACTTGCCACGTCGCTGTTTACTTCTTTCACCAATTTGTATCTTAGGAACTCTTCCAACTTGTGTAACTTTACGGGGAAGGGGATGACTGATTCGTTTTGATTTACGTCCTTAAAATCGTACTCGAAAAAAATACTTCTTCTACTTCCTTTTTCTTCTCCATGCAGTTGCGCTCTGTGGGGAATACCATTTTGGTTTTCACCTCGTGGGAGGTTTCCCTTTGGCTCGCTCTCTACATGGGGTGCCCTTCTTAAAAATACGTCCTTTGCCTTGTGTATGAAAAATTTCTTCCCCACGCCTTCCGCCCCCAAGACGAAGTAACAAGGATAGGAGGATCCCCGACCCCCTCCTCTGTTACACCCACTATAAAAATTATCCTCTTCAAAGATGTTCATAATTCTTTTAACATAATCCTGCCTAACAACCGTTTTCCACATTTCCTTAAAGCCATTCTTCTCCTTCTGTACACACCTTTGCCCGACATTTGTACTGTATTTAAAATGCAAGTGCCATTGCCCCTTCTTCCTCTTGCAGGGCACAATTATCCTCTCCACCCTGTTGAGTTGTCTCACCACTTTCTCGTTACGACACAACATCGTGTGGGGCTCTCATCCAGGTCCTCCCCTCTTTCGATGGCCTCATCGGGTGGTATGTGCTTGCACAGATTAGGTACGCACGCTTACGTAGTGCTTCATGCGGGACAAGCTTTCACATTTCTTCTTTTCATTACTATCAAATTGGGCACGCTTTATAAAAAGGGGCCAACCAATTTTTTTTTTTTTCCATCTACTTCGCGCAGCAAAGTGAAAAAAAAAAAAAAAAATGCCAGATGAATCGATTACCTACAAAGGAGAACACATTTGAAGAGCGCACACAAAGTGACTTATCTTCAAATGCATTCTTTTTTTGCAACGCTGTAGGCAAATAATGTATGTTCCTGTTGGCTCTGCGTGGGAAAAAAAAAACAAAAAATCGCCAAACGGGTTTATCAAAATGGGGGTAACAACGTGCAAAAAAAAAAAATTGCCAAAAGAATAGTTGATCATATGGCCCACCAAATCGCATGACGCTGTTTCCTACATTTTCGTGCACCAGTGATGGGTACAAATTCACAGCTACGGGAAAATGAGTAACAACGTGGTTATGCACTCCCTCGGCTCTAATTGCCAAGACGTCGTTTTTCCTATTTCGAAGGATCTCGCGATATTGTGTGGACCCCTTCCTATCGTGTGTATGCCCGTATGTCAACACTTTGAGCACTTCAGCAAAAAAAAAAAAAAAAAAAAAAAAAAAATTATGCTTAACATGGTCAGACACTTTGCCAAGTCCCCTCTTTTTCACACAATGAGGCATATTTGCAATTACAGTCGTGCAATAAACAACATTCAACTGTTTGGCCCATTTTTGCACAACTCGTTTTAACCCCCATTCGACGCATGCAAGGGGAAATATAAGGAAGAAAAATACAAAACTTTAACCAGCATCCCTGTCCATCCCCCAAATGAATGACTTCGTGCATGAGGATATCGAATTGAAACGCCGGGCGTGGGTCATGCACTTCTCAGACAGGCGAACCAACAACAAATTTAAGTTCGCCAAAAGGGGGAGTAGAAAATACTTAACGACGTGGGTCAAGGTGTGAGGAGCGTTTCCAACTCTTCTGCGCTGTACGAGTGAATGCACAAGTTGATGCAACAATGTATAGCTGCGTGCGCCTCTTCATGCTTTCTCGAAATACACTCTACTCAGCAAAAAGACCAAACGGGTTTATTCGAAAGATGGGTGAAGAAGACACAGCTAAATGAGGTACACTTGTTTTGAGTTTTTTTTTTTTTTTTTTTTTTCTCTCAATTTGTTCATCATGGAAAGAGAAAACAGTTGAGTCATCGAGCAAGATTCTTCCCAGCCATCTCCGATGTTCTCCTTCCACCTTTCCATTTGTTAGAAGTACAAAGCGGACGATGAACAGTTCAAAAGGCAAAGTGATAAGGCAAAACTGGAGAGGTAAGTTTTTATTTTTCTTCCACCGTCCACCCCTCATCAGCCATTTTTGATTACACACGCGAAGAAATTTTTCGATATGTTCAAACGTTTAGTAGTTACAATGTGTATCCGTGAAAAGGCTACAAAAAAAAAAAAAAAAGGAAGAGTACACATCCACACGTGTCCTCGTAGTAGATATAACTTCATGACTATTGTACGCTCTACCCACTCAGCAGAGAGGACCCCAATATCGGCTCCCAAACGAACTGGACGAGGAGGAGCACCAGGATAACTTTACACAATATTCTGGACAAGGAGACCTACAAAAGATGCTATGTTGATCCGCCGAGCGATTTGTACGTAGAAAAAAAAAAAAAAAAAAAATGAAAAATTTTGTCATGTATGTGCCCCGTGTTTTCACGCGCTAATGTTTTTGCACCGTTTGAATTATGCAGTTCCCTGCAGGAGGACGAGGAAGAAGAGACAGAGGAGAAAAACGCAAGCGAAACAAACCCTAAGTGACGATGACCAGGTCACTTTTCTCACATGCAGGACAGGAATCCAGACCGTTCGTTTGCCACACCAGCACAACGCCTTCCCATATAAAAGAGGCAGTCCTTTTAAAATGGAAAAACGTGGGGCACTCCGCCACATAGTAACCTAACAGGTGCGATATGCGTAAAAGCGCAAGTAAGCTTCTTTTACACATTTGGTCATGCAACAGAGGTCAATCGGTTGTGAGCAGATTTATGTCTGAACAAGTCAGCCTAGCAAAAAAGGCAATGGAGAATATACATTAATCCCTCCTTTGGCGCAAAATGTACCTTATACACGTGCTACTGTCCGCATGTGCGGGTTTCACATGAACAGAGCAGCGTGTCGCCATCCGTTCGACAGTGGGGGCGAGGAAAATTGCTCACTTCACTGCATCCCTTCCAACTTCTGCACCCCTCATTTGTGCAAAAAAAAAAAAAAAAAAAAAAAAAATGAACAAAGTGGCCGCTGAACAGCATTATATGACTTACCATGATTGTACGTAAGCAAAACAGAAAAAACTTAATATATACAAACCAGGTGAATGAGCCCAAAGTACAGGACAGGGGGAAGGTACTTCCTCACTGCTTTTTATTGTCCCCACAAAACGCGTCTGACCTACACGGACAGATTGGAGTTAAAAAAGGAAAACCTTTAAATTGAAAAATTTTATATTCCACATGTGGGACACTTTACCCGCCCACTTGTCTCATATTTTTTCGTTTTGCGGAGGACCAAATTCAAATTGGGTAATTTACACATGGTGGTATTTTAAACTGAAAAATGGGTTAAACAAAAAAGAACAATCTGCGGCATGGCGAGGGTGTTCATTTGTTTGTGTGTTGGTGGGGGGTTAATATATCGCAAAAAAAATAAAATAAAAATAAACGCAAAAATAAAGGTGGTAAAACGCAAAAATAAATGTGGTAACACGCATCCGTAAACGCAAACGCAACGAAGGTGCTAAAGCGCGATGGATGGGTAACCACATCGTGATGCGCACAAATGGGCTCCGTCCATGTTTACTTAACAAGGGAACTGGGCACTTTCGTGAATTTCCCGTGTACACATGTGTACAGGCATGGAGCATGTGGAGCATGTCGGGGATGGATATGAGCGGACATAAGTCTTGTCCTATGTATATACACTGGCGTAACCCAACATTTGATGAAAAAAAAAAAAAAAAAAAA